AGCAGAATTATAGCTGTTTTTTGGATCCGTTCATTGTGTATGTTATTGGGTCCAGCGTCTTTTTTTTTCTTTTTCAGTGAAGTTATTACCCTTTTTACTTCTGTCATCGAGAACTGGTTCCTCACAGCAAATGCAACGTTTTTTAAATCGGGTATTTGAACAGAAATGATAATTCCACTATTCTTCTGCACACATGCAGAGTATGCTGAGAAAATGAAATGGTGACTTTGAAAACAATACTTTTAGGGTGTAGTTTTCATATCGCCAAGCATGTATTAAGTTGGCAAAGAGGCTAATAAATGAAAATAATTTTGTTTAAAAACAAAGTAATAAGATAATATTACCATGTTTGAGTGTGTCATAAAAAGGAAGTATTTCAACAAACCATAAAAAATGTAAAAAAAAAAAAAATCCATGTTACATTACACACACACCTCTACCCCTATGTAACTCAGCATAACACTGTCTCATACACACACACATTCTTTTGCGTTACATAATTTATGGATGGCCATAAATCCATTCTCCGTCATGACATCTAAGAGACATCAAGATTTACAAATGGGTTAAGGAGCAGCCACCTGTGCTGAGATCTCTGATCTCACTGGGTACAGAGTGAATTCATTATAGGCCTCTTAGAAGGATTAGGAAAAATTAAAAACTGTCAGTGTTTACAAGTAATCAATTATTTTCAGACTAAATGAAAATAATGAAATTTTAAATTCAGAGATTTCCTTGTACCACTGACTTTTTTCTTTCCCAACTTTCTTATAAAATTATGGAGATCAGTAGTGGTAAAATATCAGAAAGTTTGCTTTAGAGATCTGGAATGAATTTTTCAAAAAAATGAGTTTTCACCAGATTGTTCAATTTTTCAAAAATGCTTTTTGTGAACACAAAAGCCAACTTTTTGACATTTTACAATTTTTTACCTATACATTTTCAAGCCGTCAAGAATGTGCATTTTATCCAAACTGTCTGGCTAATATGCTAATTATAATGAATATATAATTGTTTATTATCATAATTATTTTGTTGTGATGGTTTCTTGACCCTAATAAACAGACTCGGTATTTTTTTATAACAATTTATTTCTTGTTATACCATTATGATGTTTCGACCCTTTTTGGGGTCTTGTAAAAAACTCTAGTATCCAGGTTTATTGACATTACATTATAAACAACCAGTAAGCATTTTGATAAAAAAAATTGTCATTGGTATAGAAAACCTGATCATGTTGAAACATTAATCAATAAACTGGTATGTCACAACCTTTTTAAAATTGGTTACAGGTTTTCAGGAACCTGCAAGAGTTAAAGAATATTAACCTTGAAGAGAGAACCTGTAACCAATTTTAAAAAAGCTATCAGAATTAAAGTATTACACCTTATTTTTATTAAAAACTAATTAGACTTTATGAAAATAACTTAATACTGTGACCCAACTTTCAACGCCTTTCACAATTCTTGCTTCTAAAGTGGCACTCTTCAAAAATGTAATAAGTCATCCAAAAGTATCTCATTTTGTAGGTCAAGGCTAAGAAATGTAACAAAAACCTGCTTTTAAGGTACATTGTTTTTTAGTAAAACACAATGACAACACCTGTTACTGCGGAACTTGTTTTGTAGGTTGCATTTGTGCTCCTGCTGTTGCCTGTACTTCATAATTGGTGATTTTCTAACTTTTTAATTATGAGTCTGTTGTCTGCAGGCCTTGGAGTAATTCTCTTTTCAGCTAAAGCACACTTTCAGGATTTAGTATTGATTATGTCTTACAATTCATATAAAACTATCATCTTTCTATGGCATTTTGTATTAGAGGGGTTATTTTTCATTTAGCTTTTTCCCATGGATGTTAAACACTGAACACCCCTTGACAGTAGCCCCACTGGCATTTGCACTCTGATTGAAGCCATGGACATTTATGGGACTTTTATTGTTTCATGACCCAAATGATGCCTTCTTTCTCCACTAGATGGTAAAAGGAGTGTAGTGAAATTTACGTTGTCAGATGGAAGAGCAGGCCTCATGCCTTGACTCTCGGTGTGTAAAATAAGGCATCATTTAATTGAATATGTCATACCTGCCAAATTGTTAATTCACCACACTTTACGTTGCCCCACTGCATATTCTACACTTCTGTGGTTCCGTTAGTAACCTACATTTGGCTGTCTTGTTGCCTCAATGTCCATCATCCTCCCTGAGTTGAATGCATTTATTCCTCATTTGTCTTGAAGGTTCTGTACATTTTTGCATTCTTTTAAAGTGTTTTTTAAAAAATTACTATAAAACCCATTGTTGTAAATCTTCATATAATACTAATAAATATAAACTTTCGATCGTATCCCTTGTCCGTTAAAAATATTTTTCCCTACACCTCAGAAAAACCTGATTTTATCTGTATGATAAGAAAACAATAGAGTAATTATATATTGCAATGTAA